CTGTCACTACGTCAATCCGTCAGTGTGGGAGTCTTCCTCTCTTTTGCGGACCCTCTACTTTTCCAAGCCTGACGTCCCTCTCCAAGGAACAACTTCTCCTAGCAAAATGCCCAAAATATGAGAGGAAGTGTTGTCATCTTTGCCTCCAAAAAAGCACTCTGGTTGCACTTTTTCCAAAATATTTCTGTTTAAGGGAGCTCTAGTGGCAAGAAGCTGCACTGCAATCCCAGAGGTATACGGTTCGAATCTACCAGATGCTCTGCTGAGGAAGTAGGAACAATCTCCTCCTGTACCAGTCAGATCCGATTTGACACACACACACACACACACACACACACACAAAATAATAATAATTAAAAGAATCCACAACATATTTCTGTTTATTCTTTTGGCAGTCCATGGAATATTCAGTACTCTTCTCCAACCACCGCAGCTCAAAGGCATCAATTATTCTGTTATCCTTATTCATTTTCCAGCTCTCAGATGCATAGCAAACTATTGAAAAGACCATGGCTTGAATCAGGCAACCTTAAGCTTCCAACCCACATGATTTTTCTTCAGTATTTTGGAGAGGTCCTTGACAGCAGACTTACACAATGCAATACATCTTCTGATCTCCTGCTCCTGTCACCAAGGGTGTTGATTGTTGGTGCAAACAATCACTGGCAAATTCAATACTTTCTCAGTCTCTCATCATAATGATGATATCTATTGGCCCCGTAGTAAAGATCTTTGTTTTCTTAATGGGGAAATGTAATGTATACTGAAAGCTGTCATCCCTGATCTTTTGAAGCCAACAGTTCAAGGTGGCCAGGAAACACAACACTTGGAAGCTGCAAGAACAGAAAGGAAATTTACATAGACAGAGAAATGCCAGAAGTTCAAGCTGGATTTAGAAGAGAGCATGGCCCCAGGGATATCATTGTTGATGTTGGATGGATTCTGGTTGAAAGCATAAAATATCAGAAGAATGTCTGCATTTGACTGTGTGGATTATATCAAACTATGGCTAATATTGAGAAGAACAGGAATCCTAGAACACTTAATTAAGCTTAGATGTAACCTAGACCTAGACCAAGAAGGAAAAGTGGGGGTCACGGTTGTATCCTTTTTCCATACCCATTCAATGTGTACACTGATGTGATAATTCTAAAAGTTGGACTCTATAAAGAAAATATGGCAACAAGATTAAAAGAAGACTCATCAACAGCTTGTGTCATGGAGATGACATAACCATGCTTGCTGACAGAAGGACTTGAAACACTTCCTGCAGAAGATCAAAGAATACAGCCTTCAATGTGGATTGCATCTCATCAAGGAAATCCTCACCTCATACATGATGATGCATTATATGTATGACCACAATCTGGACCCTGGGGTACATTGCAGGGTGAGTTGTGGGAGGGGGAGGAAAATGTGCAACAATGAATTTTTAAAAATAGTTACAATATTTTTTAAAAAACCCAACCCAACAGCATATATTAACACTATGTATGAAACACTGTGAAAAAAAAAAATTTTAACTGTGTTGTATCTTTTGACCTTCCAGTGACACTTTGAATTCTATTCAGCACCCCCATTAAGGCAGGATTGAATGGTGCAAGGAATACAAGCCCTTGAATCAGACTAACCTTGGCTTTGAATTCCAACTCTTAATTAGGAGCTGTGGGGGCAGAGTCCAGGTAACTCAGCAAGTTACTTCATCTTCGTCAGACTCGGTTTCCTCATCTTTAAAATAAGGATAAAAGTTACAATGAGAGAAGGGAGCTCTGATGGCCTAGTGGCACGAAGCTGCACTGTAATCCCAAAGGCGCGCAGTTTGAAACCCCCAGATGCTCCGCTGGAGGAGGGGCAATCGTGCCAGTTGGATCCAATTCAATGGTACGCAACCAGGGGCAGGGGAATCAAAATGAGAGTAAGGAGTTGTCCTGTCAATGTGGAGTCAGGCAGTTCTAATCCACTAGCTGTTCTGACAGGATGGGCAGTCTACCCATAATTTGCAGCCTCTGAAGGCCTGCTTCAGGGCTGGCTGTGAGTCGGTTCCTGCTCCACGGAACATAACAAGAACGTAAGATTAAGATGTGTTGTTACTCTTGTTGTTATGCACCATGAGTTCTCCAGAGAGTTTTCAGAGGCTGTAGATAGCATAAGGGGGAGACTATCATCCATCTTCCTCCCATGGTGGTGAGCGAAATAAAACCAACCAAACAGTCCACACCCGACCTTCAACCAAAACAAGAAGAACTCACCTTTCAGAATCCAATGGCTTCACACAGGAGCCTCCAGACTGAAGACTCAGTCAGACTCAGCCAACTTTGAAATACCCAGGACCCTCAGGACCGCACCCCAGGCCTTGATCGCCTCTAACAAGAGACAGCTCATTGTTAGCCAAATGAAAAGTAAATATTCTTAGGTCCTAGGAGAAATGTCATTTCACATCCTTTGGGCATGTTGTTAGGATGGGCTAGTCCTTGGAAAAGAGGATCATGCTCAGAAAGGCGGATGGTCAGAGAAAGTGAGGAGGAGAGGTGCATCGACACAGTGACTGAGACAATGGCCTCAAGCACATGATATCATGAGGACGACACAGGACAGGGTGTTTGGGAGTCAACTGCCTGGCACCTGACAACAGCAACCACACAGGTCCTAACAGCTCCCCTTCCACCACAATGCCCAAAGCTCCTGGAACTACTGCAGAAGTCGCAGAGATAGAGAGACTTTTGTTCAGGAGCCGGTAATAGACTGGATGACCCTGTTGCTGAATAGCAGGGTGTAAGATTTGTTTTACTTGATTTTGGGTTGTGATGTAATGCTCACTCATAACTGGCATGGCAGGGCCAATGGCAGGTTTGTGAAAGTATTTTGCCTTCTGCGAGTACTATTTGAACGCCAAGTATTGCTGCTGCTGCTGCTGCTGCTGCTGCTGGTGTTAACATGAGATTGTTCATGTAAAGACTCTTTGGAACTTCTAAAAGATTCTGTGCAAAAAAACCACAGAAGTGGAGCTTCAGAGGCCTGGATGTTCATCAGAGCTTGCAAGCACCTCATCCCCACTCTAGTAGCATATCCCTTGCCTGTAAAATTAAAGGGGGGGAGGTGTGTGCTAGGACCTCAGGCTTCTCCCAATTCTCACCTGTCTGATGTCTCCCTATGTACACCTGTCCGCACCCTTGTCGGGATGGAGCAGTCAAACTTTCTTCTTCAGCCAGAAAGACAATCAGAAGTATCCGTGTCTTAGAGTGCTCAGCAAGCTAGCGAGATGCTGCTGAAGGGTGACGCTTTCTGATGCCAAGCCTGACAGTCTGCACAGCAGGCTCTGATGCAGGCACCGTTCAGTTAACCCATTCGATCCCCACATCTCTGTGTGAGGGCAGACCCCTGTACTCTCCAATACCATGCAGAAAAGGAAACTGAGGCTGGATTTAAATGCCCATGACTTGGTTCACAGCACAGATCCATCCTTTCTTTCTTCCCTGGGCCTGAAAAGAGGTCTTTCTTTCTAACATGGAAACCTGGGTCCTGACACAGTCCAGAGGAGGCAAGACAAAGTCATCCAAGGAGCAAACGGCTCCGGTAGGGAGGCAGTCAGGGGCCAGGGCAGCGATGAACAGGAACGCAGTCTAAAAAAAAAAGGGGGGGGGGTCCTACATTAGATCTCTGGTGGCCTAGTGGCAAGAAGCTCTGCTTCAATCCCGAAAGCATGCAGTTCAAATCCACCAGATTCTCTGTTGGAGAAGGAGGGGCAATTTCCTCCTGTACCAGTCGGATCTGATTCCATTGTTGTTGTTGTTGTTGTTATGTGCCGTCGAGTCGTTTCCAACTCATAGCGACCCTATGCACAACAGCCCTAAACCCTGCTCTATCCTGCGCCAACCGCACTGCCTCCGACACACCCATCCCGATTCCATGGTACACAACAAAAAAAAAAACAAAAAAGACCATTAAAAATCTACATTAATGTCAGGAAGACAGAGGTGTGTGACTAAATTTCTACCTGGCTGACCTTGAGATGAGGCTGTCGAGGCGCCCACGCCAAGAGAACTGTGGGCCCCCGTTCTAATGCTCTGTTTCTAATGGGCAGCGAGGCCTCCTGCTGGCTCTGCCCCAGAGATGTGTGTATCCTGGGCTGCTGGGAGTCTATCAGATGTGATGAGCCTAATGTAGTGCCTTGAAACCATTAAAGGATGGGAATGAAGGGGAACCAGCCCAACATGCGGGCCCCACGCCTGTTTCTCTCGCCAGGTGAGCACCTGGCCGCCCTGCTGGTCACCCGCGCGGCCGCAGCCTTCTTCCTGGACAGTGGGGCCCAGGACGTGCTGCGGGACCTGCAGGAGGCTTTCCGCAGGAGCCCGGCGGCGGCGCGGAGCCACTTCCAGGAGCTGCTTTCAGCGGAGGACCGCGAGCGCGTCCGGGCCCAGGTGCAGGAGGCCGCCGACCTGGGCTTCGCTCGCTTCCGCGAGGCTGTGCGCAGCCGCCCCGAGCTACGCGGAGACACCGGACGCGAGCTGCTGGCCCCGGTAAGCCGCGCGCTGCGCTTCCTGCTGCGCGTGGCGCCGTCTGGGGCGCGGCCAGGGCTGGGTATGCGCTTGGCCGAGTGCCTGCTACTGGCAGGGAACGCGACGGGTGCGTGGACGCTGTGCGAGCGCCTCCTGCGGCCGATCGACCGTCAGGGCGACCGTCTTGGTCCTCGCGCTGGAACCCGCGCGCCCTTGCTGGCGCTACGCGGCTTCTGCGCTCTGCACGCCGGCGACACGCAGCGCGCCCGGGAGGACTTCCAGGCGGTGGTGGAGCAGGGAGCACCGCACCCTGGCGGCTGCGTGCGCGCGCTGTGCGGCCGTGGGCTGCTGCGCGTTTTGGACGGCAGCACCTTCCTGGGCGCTCTGGACTATGTCACCGCCTGCCAGCTGCGGCCGGAGGAGGCGCTGCTGGCCGCCAAGGCCTACGTGCCCTGGAACCAGCGAGGGCTGCTGCTGACCGTGCTGCGCGAGGAGGGCCGCCGGATGCTGCAGCGGAGGCCGGGGTCTGCCGGCGCGCAGGCCCGCAGGAGGAAGGCCTCAGAGACGGGCAGCCACGAGGTGCAGGAAGGGTGAGAGTTCCATTCCCTGGCGCATTGTGGGCCCCTGCTTCACGTTGGTCTTCTTACGTAAGGAGAATGGGTAGTGTTTTTCCTTCACACATGCGTAAACTGAGGTGAGGAGGGACTAGTTTCTGGAGCAGGACATTGTGCTTGATAAAAAAGAACTCAACTAACAGCCATGGAGTCCAGTCTGACTCATAGCTGACCCTCGATGGGTTTGCGAGGCTGTAAACCACGCGGGAGATTGCCCATCTTTCTCTGCTGGTACTGTTGGTGGATTCGAACCACTAGTCAGCTTGGCGATTCAAATCTATGGAAGAAAGATGTGTCCGTCAATAAAATCTACAGTCTTGGAAACCTTTGGGGAAGTTCTACCCGGTTCTGTGGGGTTGCTAAGAGTTGGCAGAGCTGACTTGACTGCCTTGGGTGTTGCCTACTTGAGGGTGAGCCCGGGGCCTGTTTTAGCCATGACCCCCACCCCACCCCCCAACACAGGGGAGGTGGCTGGGTGTGTTGTGGCAAAGTTAAAAGCGCTGTGCACATCCACACGATGAAATATCACATAGCACGCAGGAGCAATGATTTTATAAATTACCACCTGACTTGGGAGGGACTGGAGAGCATTATGCTGAGTGACCCAGTCCCAGAATGAGAAATATTGTATAAGACCATTATTGTAGAACGAATATGAGGATATAATGGGGAGGGCAGAGGGCTGAGTATGGGGTGGGTGATAATCATAAGGATGTACAATTTGATGGGTGGAGGGAGGCACAAAGATCTGGTGTGGAAAACAGTATATACAAACCAGTATAAACCAGTATAAAATTTAAAAAAAATGAGAACAGCCTGTGCTCAGAGGTGGGGAGGGGAGCAGGGCGGCTGCCACACCTGATCCTCAGGCATCTGATCGGGAAGGTAGATTCTAAGACCTAACAGGTTACAGTCCCGGTCCTTGGCCTCGATGGGAGTTTGTGATATGTGTCCTGTTACTAATGTAGCCAGGAGGCTTGGGCCTCAAGTTCACTTCTTTAGTGGTCAGTTCACAGGGAGGGCTGAGTTCCGGGCCCCCATGGTGCAGCAGTGAGTAACAGCATGTTGAAGAAAAAAAAAAATGCTGTCCAGGGGTCCTTATGGACAGCAAATCTGATGTGTCTCTCTCTCACACACACACACAGACACCCCATGTCTCTCTATTGCTTAATTGGCATTGATTTGATTTCTCTCCAGGTGAAACGTGTTTCACGTGTTTTGGGGCCAGGTCTATTTATTCTTTCTGGGAATTAGTGATTTGAGGGTCTGGCTCTTTTTCACAGTGGAAGTTGATTGACTTCTCCTAACATGGGTGCCAGGGACATTTCAAATGCAATCCTGTGTGCAGTCCTGTCCCCGAGCCACAATGGTTACCTGTTTTTCAGGAAAGGAAAATGAATCGGGCTCGTCAGGGTCAGCACTGCTACTGACCATAGACTCGCCTCAGTCCCACCGTCTGTGAAAAGGCATGGCCTAGGGGAGGTGGGAAGATGGAGTGAGAGGCTGAGGCCAAGGGTAGCTGAAAGGGAGTGACTCCAGCCGGGTGCCAGAGACCAGGATTTACCTGTGATCACCTACGCAGATGGAAGGAGTGTGAGGCAGGGGCCGGCCCTTCCCTAGTGAGTCTCTCTGTCTGTGGTGCAGGGATGCCCAGGGTGTGTACCAACTGGCGGTGCTGCTGATGGAACTGGACACAGAGGATGAAGACTCACGCCTCCTAGCGGCTGATGCCCTGTACCGCCTGGGCCGCCTGGATGACGCCCACAAGGCCCTGCTGGTGGCCTTGTCCCGGAGGCCCCAGGCGGCCCCAGTGCTGGCACGGCTGGCTTTGCTACAGCTCAGGAGAGGCTTCTTCTATGATGCCAACCAGGTAAGGAGGCCCCGCACTCGGTGCCCATGGTCTGACCTTAGTGTCGGATAAGCCTTGTTTCATCCCCAGCTCTGTCATTGCCAGCTGTGCCACCTCTCTGACTTCAGTCTCTTCATCTCTGCTCTGGCCTTGCTAAGATACTGTGGGAATTAGCTGAAGCAGGTTTTCCAGAATTTGATATGTCTTCACAGATTAAACGCACACACACAAAACCCCCTCACTCATGGCAACCCTATATGTGTCAGCAGACCTGTGCACATAAGGGGTTTTAATGGCTGATTTTTCAAAAATAAATTACCAAACCTGTCTTCCAAGTAAATATCCTCTATTTTACCCTGACTGTGAAGAAAAAGGACCAAAAGAGAGTCCATTGTAGATAAAGCTCCACTCCAAGTGTCCCAGGGAAAGTGAGCTTGTCAGTAAGTCCTGTTTACGTGGGCATGGCACTTCCCCAGCTGCCTGCCTCCCTCTAAGATCTGCTCCTGTGACAGACAGAACATCAGCCTCACTCCAGTCTTCTGGAAGTTTCCCCTTTGAACCTTGGACTTTGAGCTCTGGCTAGGGCTTTGGAGCCTGTCAGGGCTGTCCTTGACCTCTGGCCTAGCTTTATCCGTGACCACCTGCTGGGGCAGCCCTGGAGAGAGAAGAGACTGAACATACTGGGGCAGCCCTGGGTCCTCATGGCTGAGCTGCACAGAAGCTATGGTAGGTGTCACTGGGGGCCCGTTATCCTGGGATTGTGCTCAGCTGCTTCTGAAATACCCCCCCCCAACCCTTGCTATTTTCTAGCTTGAGAGCCCCCTTTCCTGACATTGTCTGATTTGGCCATCTCGAGCCGGCCTTGTAAAGAGGAGGAGACGTGGGGATCCCAAGAGGCCCTCGCTCGTACAGGCCCCCTCCTCACTCGGGCAGCCGTCCCACCCATGTCTCTATTTACTGTGCAGTCAATATCCCCTGTGGGATGAAGGGTACCCCCTAAATAGCCCCAGGCTGCAAGACCCATCTAATGTCCAGTGTGGATAGAGAGGCTCCTGGGGCCCTGAAAGCAGAGATGAGCTGGAACAGGAGCCCTGGGTAGGGCTGGACCTGGAGGAAATCTTGGGGGTGGAGACCCAGGGAGGGGGAGGGAAATGGCAGAGACTGCCCCACCCTGCAGCTGGTGAAGAAGGTGGTCCGGTCCGGGGACACAGCCTGCCTCCAGTCCACCCTGGACGTCTTCTGCGACGAGGACCGGCAGCTGCTTCAGAGCCACTGCCACACGCGGGCCCTGGCCATCCTGAGGACACGGCCAGGCGGGGACGACGGTGGGGCGCAGGCCAGGGAGGCCATCGCTTACCTCTCTCTGGCCATCTTCGCTGCAGGTAGGACAGAGCCTAGGAGGGACTGGCTCTCAGTGTGGGCCGGGTCGGGGTGGGGGACTCTGCTGTGCTGAGGTCCAGGGATCACAAGCGTCCAAGACAACAGGGTCTCCCTTGCCTGTCACCTGATGGGCTAACGTCCAACACAGAATCCTGAATGGACCAAGATGCCAAGGGTGGCACAGGAGTGTGTGCTGTGATTGGGGTACGCCTGAGTCACAGTTTGTGTGTCCTGTGTGGTGAGCACCCCCTCATGATGGACAGGGTGGAGCTGCCCATGGAGACCTGAGGAAGGTGTGACACCGGTGGCACTGCCCCTTGTGGCTGCACAAAGCCAAGCACACTCGCCGTGTCCAGCAATGAGCCTCGGACTTGCCTGCAGGGCCTTGTGACCTGTCCGGTGGAGTCCAAAGACAAGGAGAACTTGACATCTGAATGTTAGAACCACTGAGTGTGGATGGGGCTCCTGAGGACTGCCTTCTGATGATCTGCATGTCGAGACCAGATGGGTCACTAACATCTCTGAATTCGAGGCCTTCCTGGGACAAGGATCCTGCTGAGGCTGGGACAGGGGGGTGTTAGAAGAGCAGGTGACCGTATTGCCTGCCTCAGATGCTCTGGGATGCCCCACCCAGCCCGCCCTTTCTGCCAGGAATTGGCTAAATTGGCCCAGCACTAGCTTAGTGGGATGGAGCCAGGTTCCAGCCAGCCTGACTGAGTCCCAGGATTATGGGAGTCAAGGGGAAAGTGTACACAAGACATCCAGGCCTTCTTCTGGCCCCCAGGAAGGGCCACAGGGGCCTCCTCTTTGGGAAGGACCCTGCTGTGCCCAGAAATCCTCCCCAGAACTCCTCCCTGCTGACTTTGCCTCCAAGTCACCCCTGCTCAGAGGCCCTGGCCTCCTCCCGGATCTCTTGGCCTTAGATGCCACTCCCAGCCCCCTCTTCTGGAAGCCCTCTCTGCTGCCATCTGCTGGAATTCTCCTTGCCCTGTAACCAGTGACCCAGGTCACCCCTGCTGTCCCTTCTGTGTGTCTTGAGGTTGGTGGTCTGTGAGTCCCCAGTGTGGGCTGTCCCCCTCAGGCTACCCCACCCAGCGTGGCATGGAGGAAGCACAGTTAATCCTGGACAAGGACAAACCCATGTGTCCATCCCCTGAACACCAACACCATGCTCTCCCCTCCAGGAGGGCAGGCTAGCGAGTCCCTGCTTGCCCGTGCCCGCTGCTATGGCTTCCTGGGCCAGAAGAAGACAGCCATGTTCGACTTCAACGCCGTGCTCCGGGGTGAGCCGGGGAACGTGCCGGCGCTATGCGGGCGGGCACTGGTGCACCTGGCCCTGGGTCAGCAGAAGGTACTGGCACCCACCCTCATTCTGGGCTGGGCAGGAGTGGGAGGATGCAAGTGGAGACATGGGAGGACCAGGGAGTTCCCTCATCCTCACCCCAGAAGTAGAGAGAGGGCCAAGGAGGCAGTCAGGAGCTGTCTCATCAGAACCCCAGCCTCATCCCAATTCTGCGGGTTCAGAGCAACTCATCTGCTAACCTCTGCAGCCTTTGAGTCCAGTGCAGCATCGGATAGAAGGAGCAGGGGGTAGTGTGGTCCCCCAAACCTCAGCTATAAGCAGCCACGTTACAAGCTGAGGAAAGAGGGGCAGAAGGAAGACCAAAGCTCCCTGGACCCCCAGGGGCACATGTCACTGTATGCTCCAGGCCGTTGTATCAGGGTGGCCCAGTATCTGTGGAGCAGTGCGACCCATCTAGGATGGCCTGCCAGTTACAGGAGAGGATGGCATATCTGCAGCCCCCTAGTACTTGAGTTAGAGACACCATGCTGGGAAAGGTAGAGGTTCAGCAAAGGAGAGGAAGACCCTCAATGAGATAGATTGGCACCGTGAACACCCCAGTGGGCTTGAGGATGTCAGAGATCATGAGGATGGCACAAGACAGGACAAGGTGCAGATCTGTTGTTCATCAGGTCACTGTGAACCGTAGTTGACTTGATGACACCTAACAACTCTAACAGACAGGACAGCCTGGTCAGGTACCCTCCATGTCCACAGGCAGAAGAGCACATCAGGACAGAGCAGTCTATCCATGACCCCCTCATTGGCCATGGGGCAGGGCATCCTAACCACAAGGTCTTTTCCGTGAGGACTTTGCCAGGTCTGGTCTCTGATCCCATCTGGGTATGGTGGAGAGAGGCCTACTGTCAAATGCTTAGTCTATGATGCAGGCCCAAGTCATGGCAGCTGAAACTCCCATGGGCCAAGGCACAATTTACTTTTTCCCTGCCAAAGTAGCCAGCCACTTCTGCTCACCCTTGGCCAGCACTGCCTGTAGGTAGAACTCATACCAGTGTAGAGTGGTCCAGAGAGGACTGCCCTTTCACTGGCCAAGATCTGGACTCCCAGAGGTCCTCTCCAGTAGAACCTTGTCTGCTGGACTTGAACAGCATCTGAATGAACATTCTGCCCTGGTTTTATGAAAGAGTAGCTGATACTGGTGCTCTGAACTTAATATAAATGGATAAAACTTGATAGAATACATGCAGCAACTGGTTCAAGCATAAGCCAATAGGCATGACTCAGGAGAAGGGACAACACCTGAGGTGAGTCCCATGATGACCCTGATTGTGCATCTGTCAGAATTTGCATTCTTACCTTAAGAGAGTGACGTGGCTGACCAAGGAGAAAGCAAAGATGGGCAGTCCAGCTGCTACAGTGACTGAGATTTGCAGGATAGGGGAGGTGGAGAGGAGGACTTTGTACAGTGGAGGGGCATCTAGAATATGGTGTCTGGATCAGAGGAAGACATCAGCAACCTGAGTTATGCAGATGACACCGTCTTGCTTGCTGAAAGTGAAGAGGACTTCAAACACTTGCTGCAGAAGATCAAAGGCTATAGTCTTCAATATGGATTACATCTCATCATCATGTGGACCAGAATTCTCACCACTGGACCAATAGACATCATGATGATGTGTCATTGAGTCAGACCGTACGTTCAACAGCTCTAAACCCTGCTCTATCCTGAGCCAACCTTATCGTTTCCAACACACCTACTCCCCATTACTCCAGTCACTGAGTCAGTCCATCTCATTGAGGATCCCTCCTGCCTTGTCCCTCCACCCTCCCAAGCATGACGTCCTTCTCCAAGGACTGATCCCTCCTTGCAGCATGTCCAAAGTATGTCAGTTGGGGCTTCAGAATTCTTGCTTCCAAGGAGCAACCTGGTTTAACCCTCTCTGGGATGAACCTATTTGTTCTCTTGGCAGTTCATGGTATATTCAGTACTCTTCTCCAGCACCACTGTTCAAAGGCATCAATTCTTCTGTCGTCCCTAGTCATTATCCAGCTTTCTGATGCATAGCATGACATCATGACAGATGGAGAAAATGTTGAAGTTGCCAATTACTTCATCTTATTTGGATCCACAATCAACACCCTTGGTACCAGTAGTCAAGAAATCAAAAGCTGTATCTCATTGGGAAAACCTGCTGTCAAGGACCTCTCCAGAGTACTAAAGAGCAGTGTTACAGTTTGAAGACTAAGTGTGCCTGATCCAGGCCATGGTCTTTTGAATTGCTTACTATGCATCTGGAAATTGGACAACACCTTAAGATGACAGTTGAAGAATCAATGCCTTTGACTTGTGATATTGGCAAAGAGGACTGAATATCCCATGGACTGCTATGAGAATTGCCAAATATGTCTTGAAGAAAGTGACACCAGAGTGCATATTGGAAGCAAGGATGGTGAAACTTCATCTTACATACTGTGGGCATGTTCTTAAGAGAGGCCAGACCTTGGAGAAAATATGCTTGGAAACATGGAAGGTCAGCGAAAGAGAGGAAGACTCTCGATGAGATGGGTTGATACAGTGACTGTATCAATGTACTTGAGTATATCAGAGTTGATAAAGATGGCACAAGATAGGGCAAGGTTCAGATCTGTTATTCTTAGGGTCACTATGGGTCATGATCAACTTGACAACAACTAACAACAACAACCAGAACAAAACCTAACATCCCTTTAAAGGAAAATTGGTTGTTGTTGTTGATTGCCTCCAAGTCAAGCACGACTCATCGTGACCCTATGAACAAAAGGCCTGAAGCCTTTCTATAACTATCGACATTTATCAAAGTTCATAGAGTTTACAGAGGTATGTTGTTTAGGAAGTGGGTATTATCCACAAAGTCCAACACAAAATCAAAGCTAGATAGATACACAGAGAACCAGGGAAATGTGACAAAGAAAATAAATAAAGGCTCAATAGAAACAGACCCTGAGACTACTGAGATGCACAGCAGACTAGGACTTTAAAAGCAGCTGTTCTAAAAACCTTCTCTTTCAATAACTCTCAAATGGATTAATTAACATGGTGACTGCAAGAATGAGCTTAAGCAGAGCAAAGATCATGAGGATGGCTCGTTCTAAATGCATAGAGGATATTACAAGATAGAAGTACATAGATCGATGCAGAAAACTTCGCATGAAACTCAGCAAATGTAAAAATAATAAACACATAAAAAATCACACCTAAAAGCATCTTGGTCACACTGATGAAAACAAAAGATAGAGAGTGGCTTACAAACAGCCTGGGAGCTGAGGGAAGGAGGGTAAGAAAGGAGATACATTATGTATAATAAAGCAACAGCATGGATGATCACTGATATGTCATCGAACCAGTGGAGGTCCTGAGGCGATGGAACCATATTCCCCTGGGGAGTTGTGCTACCAACCCAAAGGCAGGGCCTCCCTGGCAGTTCAGATCTCCCAGCAGATCCACAGGAGAAGGAAGGACTATCTCTCTCACGAGATTTACAGCCTCAGCCACCCAATGGAAGGTGAGCTGTAAGTCAAAACTGACTACAGCAATGAGTGAGTGTGAAGAGAAAAAAAACGGGACACAAACCTGAAATTCTGTATCACCTTGAAAATCTTTCACAAGTGATCACAAAATTAAAACCCATTCTTAGATGCATGAAAAGTGAGCAATTAGACCTGCACTAAGATAAATACCAAAGGAAATTCATGGTATTGAAGATAATTGACACCAGGAGAAAAGTATCTGCTGGGAGAAATTAAGAACATATTTAAATATAGGGAAGGGGAAGGATCTTTCTTTCCTCTGAATTGAGCTCTTATGAATTTTATGAATGGAGGAACAAAGGCTCACACGCAGAGAAAGATGGTCAGATGGAAACCACTTACCTTAATCACTAAAGCTCTTCTCAAAGAGGGCTACCCTCTGGCATGATCATCTAAGCTTCCATATCTCTGGAAATTTCCTCTTCTTCCCACATTTGTAACTCCATCCTCTATGGTTTGTCACTCCTGTCCAGATCCTCGCTGCCCTCCAGCTGCCAGCTCAAGTCTACCTTGTCCACAATACTAAAGTCTCCACCGACATGATCCCTCCTCTTCTCCATACTCCTGTCTCCCATTGAGGATCCCTAATGCCCTTGTCACCAGCTTCCCCGTGTTCCGCCTCAACTCCTTCACCTCCTGATGGGTCGTGCATCCTCACCATGACTGCACCATGTGTGTTAGGAGACAGGAAGTGTGCTCTCTTCCCCCTCTGCCCAGCCCCAGTGCCCCAGACCCAGGGAGCAGTACTTGACAACACGTACCTGGGGAACTTCTGAGCACACTTGCAAGGTAGACAAGATGCCCCTCCAGGAGGAACCTGTATTGGACAGAGATGGGGTCGGGGGGGGGGGGGGATCCTGCTGCAAAGTAGAAGGAACATGCTATCCAGACAGACTGTAGCTGAGTGAGGTTGGAATTGGGAAGGTCTGAATGTGAGGTGCAACCACAGAAGAGGTTATAGACCAATGAGCTGGGTTCCCTCAAATTCCCAGACCAGCAGCAGGGGGAGGGCGGAGTGGCTATGAGGAAGAAGTGTCAGGCAGCCAGTAACATGGTCCTCTAGGACTCCAAGGAGTAGACAGGAGACCCGAGAGTGCAGGGGGAAAGCCAGATGGTTGGTGCCAGGCCCCCAATTCTTTGTGCTGTCTCCAGTCTCATTCCCCTTCCCTTACAGGAGGCCGTGGATGACATCATCTCTGCTCTGAAGCTGGACACAGGCGCTGTGGTCCCTGAAATCCGCTCATTGAAGCCAGAAGCCCAGTCCCTCATCACCCAGGGCCTCTACACCCGCTGCCGGGATCTCTTGAGCCAACGGTTGGACACCGAGGTGCCCCTCAGTGACGAGGACACCCAGGGCCTCCTGGCTACTGGGCAGACACTGATCAAACTGGATGCCCAGCAGCCAGACTGGCACATCCTCCTCACAGATGTTCACATGGCCATAGGTAAGTGTCAGCTCAGGACAGAAACACGGCTTTACCCCGGGCTCTGTGGATTCCTCTATTTATGTAACAGTATTGGTTGAGTGTCCATGGGATGCTGGTGCTGTTCTAGGAAGGGGTGTCTTAGATCTGTCTGGAAAACACTATTTTGCCTAGTAATGTGGGAAATGCTGTCAATTCTTGTTTTGCATGGTACTGCCAGTTGTTTTCTTGTTAATTCTGTCTCAGTTGACCCTGTGTTTGTCAGAGTAGAGCCGTCCGTCCTCCATGGAGATTTCAGTAGATCACCAGGCCTTTCTTCTAGGGTACTCTGGGTGGGTTTGAGTCTCCAGCTTTTCTGTGAGCAATTGTCTTAGGCCAGGTTCTCTGGAGAAGCAACAGCAATGAGGTTTGTATCCATGTATGTGTGTAGATAGATATATAAGTATACGTGTGTAAATACTTATAGTTTTTGTTGTTATGTGCTGTCAAGTCACCAGAAACCCAGAGCAACTCGATGACTCTGAAGCCTACCCGTTCCTGAGACAGTCTCATTGATTCCAACACACCTAACCCCATTGCCCCAGTTACTGTGTTAGTCCATCTCATCCAGGGTCTTCCTCTCCTGTGCCGCTGTCCCTCCACCCTTCCGAGTATGATGTCCTTTTCCAAGGACCGATCTCTCCTGGCTACGCGCCCAAAATATGTGAAATGGAGCTTCCAAATCCTAACCTGCAAGGAGAAACTTGGTCTCACCCTCTCCAAGACAGATTGTTTTCTTGGCAGCCCATGTTCAAGTCCAGTTCAAGATTCTTCTCCAGCACCACAACTCAAAGGCATTGATTCTTCTTCTGTCATCCTTAGTCATTGACCAGCTCTCTGATACATAGCAAGGAATGGTGAAGAGCCTGGCTTGGATTAGGCACACCTTAGTATATATGTGTATATACATACACACACACACACATATATGTGTATATAAACACACATATACATATATGCATATATATACACACATATACATATACATATAGTTGTTGTTGTGTATCATTGAGTTAGAACCAACCCATAGCTGACCCTCTGGCAGGTTTTCAGAGGCAGTTAATCACGTGAGAGGAGATTGCCTGTTTTCCCGTGGAGCAGCTGGTGGCCTCGTTCTCAATTACAGCACAGCTTCCTGCCACTAGACCACCAGAGCTCATATATATAAACTTAGAGACTAAGGTGTGCCTGATCCAGGCCACAGTCTTCACAATTACTTGCTATCCATCAGAGAGCTGGACAATGACTAAGGATGACAAAAGAAGAATTGATGTCATCATGGACTGCCAAGAAAACAAATAGGTTTGTCTGTCTTGGAGAGAGTGAAACCAAGTTTCTCCTTGGAGGCTAAGAGTTTGAATCTCTGTCTCACATACTTTGGGGACTTGGCCAGGAGGGACCAGTCCTTGGAGAAGGATATCATTCTCAGAAGGGTGGAGGGACAGGGCAGGAGAGGAAGACCCGGACGAGATGGATTGATAGAGTAACTGGGGCAATGGGAGGAGGTGTGTCAGAGTCAGTGAGACTGCATCAGAACAGGCAGGCTTCAGAGCTGTTGTACCTGGGGTTACTTTGAGTCATAGGTGACTCCATGGCACATAACAACTACATATGTGTAGAGACAGAGATAGGGAGCTCTGGTGGTCTGGTGGTCTAGTGGTAAGGGATTGTGCTGCCAACATAAAGGCACACAGTTTGAATCCACCAGCTGCTCTGTGGGAGAAAGATGGGCAGTCTCCTCCTGTGTGACTTACTGCCTCTGCAAACCTGCTGGAGGGTCAGCTATGAGTCAGTGAGTCAGTACTGATCCCACAGCAGTGGGGTTGAGAAGATAGAGAGATTTCTTTCAAGGGAACGTACTCAGGTGTTTTTTCCATGAGCCTTGTAGAAATATCTCCTGGACCTGAGGGTCATCTGGAGAGACAGTGTCCAGTCATCAGCATTCAGACAAGGTCTCAGACTGCTGACTCTGGGGGCTCCTGGCTTCAAAGACTGACACTGTCACAGGTCATTGTGGGAAGCAGGGGTGCAGACAACTATTGACTCTGGAGATAGATGAGCCCAAAGTTAGCAAGTACGGCAGGCCATGGTTTAAGCCTGGGGACCACGAGCCGGACAACCAGAGGTGGCGGCGGTGGTGGTGGTGGTGGTGGTGGTTGTGTGCCATCAAGGTTGAACCAACTCATAACTGGGTTTTCAGAGGCTGTAAATCGCACAGAAGGAGATTGCCCATCTTTCTCCCTCAGAGCAGCTGGTAGATTGGTACCACATGCCTTTGGCAGTGCAGCTCCTTACCACGAGGCCACCAAAACCCTAAAACAAGCAAAGCCAGATCTGACCAAAATAAGCCCTCTAGCCTTGCCAGAGAATCCAAAGGGAGGTATCGTGAAGGACGCTTGAAGAGACCTCCCTTAAATCTGTTAAGACCAATCATATCTTTACAGATCTCCTTGTTGTCCTACCTTATAAAGATCACATTGCTGGTGTTACATGCCATCGAACCGAGTACGACTCATAGTGACCCTGTGAACAGCAGACGTGAACCCTGTCCTATCCTGTGCCGTCCTCACGTTCCCTGACACACTACAGCTGAGTCAGTCCACCTGGCTGAGGGTCTTCCTCTCCTTTGCTTTCCTTCCAACTTTCCAAGCATGATGTTCCTCTCCAGGGAATAGCCTCTCCTAGTCCATAATAATGTGAGATGAGGCTTTTTCATCTTTGCCTCCAGAGAGCACTCTGGCTGCACTTTGTCCAAGACACATCTGTTTGATTTTTTGGCCGTTCAGTGCCCTTCTCCAACACCACAGTTCAAAGGCATCAATTCTTCTTCTATCACCCTAAATCATTATCTAGTTCTCAAATGTATAGTAAGTGATTAAAAAGACTGTGGCCTGAATCAGACACAGCTTAGTCCTCAAACTGGCATCATTACTCCTCTATAATTTAGAGAGGTCCCTGACTGCAGACTTTCCTAGTGCAATACATCTCCTGATGATACCAAGTGTATTGATTGTGGGTACAAGTAAGATCAGAGAGGTTAGAATTTGCAACACGTAGAATAGTTACATTATACTGAAGATCGTGGTAGTGTTACTATGAAATACGAGCCATGCCAGCATCCAGGCTTGGTAATCATCATTTGCACCTCCAGGGACTTCCAGCTCTGAATTGCAAATACCATCAGCCTTATTCAACATCAACTGGGAATGAGTGGGTGGTTCTCAACACTCTGCAAGTGAAGTCATTTGAGTCTCCAGATGACTTCAGAAGTGTCACGAGTATAGATTTTGTTTTGGGTTTGTTTTTTTTTTATTAAGAGAAATTTGTTATTGGATATCTCCATAAAATAATGACAAAGCTGAATATTCCAAGTATTTGATAAGTAGAGATACATTTTTTTAAAAAATACCCTCTCTTGATGGGCTGTCTGCCAATACATTATTAACATAATTGCAACATCTCCACATGATGGTTTAGTAGATGTGTAACTAATTCTCCATGTTTATTATGCTAAATTTTCTAATCCCTAGTTGTTGAAACAGAGTATAGATTTTGGAATTAAGCCTATTTTACCAAGTAGGTGAAGTGAGAGTCCTGGTAACACTGTGGTTTAGTCCTCAGGTATAACCAGAAGGCTGGAGGTTCAAACCAAGCCATCAGTTCAGGGGAGACAGGTGTGGCGTGGCAGTCTGCGTCCACAGAGACTGACAGCCTAGTGAACCCTGTGGAGCCGCGCTCCTCTGTCCTCACAACGCCGTTCAGGAGCAGGAATCGACCCAGTGGCAACGAGTTTGGACCCAACTCAGAGCCCTTAGTAATGAATTGTGTTGTATTTTCAAGCAGGGGAGTCTCCTAAGGCCTATCCTCGTCCCTGATGACCTCTGACCCTGTGGAGTGGGCCCCTCCTGTGAGGCTTTGTTCTAGGAGGCCCAGCCCTCCTCCAGGCACCCCACCTCATGGTGACCACAGTGAGCACGTCAGAGCAGTGCCTCCTGGGTCAGGCACCCAGGGCCTTAGAGAAATGGTGCCCGTGTAGGTGCTGGGTCTAGGTCCAGCTCTTGTCTGGGGTGCCTCTCTTCAGCTTTTGCCTCTCAGGCCTGGCCCCCAAGCCACCAGATTGTTCTTCTGAGGCATCTTGGGTGGACTTGGACTTCAGGCTTCCAGTTATCAGGCTTCTCACCTCTCTGGGATCCTGGCCCAGACACAGACACTGTTGACTGTCCTTTCAAACTCCCGGCAGGCAGCTATGAAGATGCTGACGCCCATCTGCAAAAGGCCCTGAGCTCCACTCCACTGTCAGCGGCGGCCCAAGGCCGGCTGGGCTTGCTCCGAGTCAAGAAGGGAGACCTGCTGACCGCGGTGCAGGACTTGCAGGGCCTGGTGGGGAAGGACTCCAGGGATCTTGGCTTCCTGCTGCATCTTCTGGAAGCCTCTGAGCGGCAGAGCCTCGCCCAGGTAGGTAGCAGGCAGCGCCCCATGGAGCCCCAGCCCCATTTGGGTCACCAGGCATGTTCACATAGCCTCCTCCTGACTCAGCTGCTGAGGGGGCAAGTCCTCCTCTGGCACTGTGGGGTGGCAGGCCCCTGCACCCCCTGGAGAGACAGGATCAGTGTATTAGTCACGTGTATTCATAGCCTGGCAGAGAAGGACACTGTGTGCCCTGCAGGGATGCATGAGGTGCACACAGGGTGAGCGACCAGGGCCTGTGGAGGTCAGGTTTATAGTAACCAAGAGTGTGCGGTGTCCCCTGGTGCCCACGTGAGGGTGTGAGTGACTTGCTTCAGTATTTCCGTAAGTCGCCATGGCTGAGCCGAATTCTCAGGCATGAGGAGGAAGTGCATTAGGCCATGATAAGGAGGGTGGCTTAACCAGGGGACCCTGTCTGCAGGGCACAGAGGGAAGGGGATTTGTGGTAAGGGCACAGGAAGTCCTTGGGATTTTACACACCTAACATTGGGCCTTAATTTTAGGCCTCATACCGTTCTTTGATGTTCCTCCTCAGTTTCGGCAAGCAGGGTTGTGTCATCTGCATAATGCAGATTGTTGATGAGCCTTCCTCCAATCCTAATGCCACATTTCCCCTTGTAGAGCCCAGCCTCCCAGATAATCTGTTCTGAATATAAATTGAAAAGGTATGAAGATAGAACACATCCCTGGTGTACACCTTTCCCAGTTTTGAACCATGCAGTGTTCTCTTGCTCTGTTCTGATGACTGCCTCCAGGTCCAAGTATAGGTTTCACATAAGCATGATCAAGTGTTCTGGAATTCCCATTCTCCTCAGAGTCAGCCACAGTTTGCTAACTGTGACCTTGCTAAATTTGACCTTGAGTCTATCCCACCTGAATTTCAAAACCATCCTAGGAACAGGTTTGAGGCCTTAAACACTAATGAGCGAAGATCAGGTGAGCTGTGGGAGGATATTAATAGTATCCTCCATGAAGAATGCAGGAGGTCATTACAAAGAGGAGGAAGGAAAGACCAAGGTGGATGTCAGAAGAGACTCTGAATATTTCACTAGAGTGCCGAGGGGAAAAAAGGGAAGGGAAAGAAAAGCAAAGGGAAGAAATCAAGAAGTTAAGGAGCTGAATAGAAGGTTTCAAAGAGCAGTATGGGAAGACAAAGTATAATGAAATATGCAAAGATATTGAGTCAGAAAATCAAAGGGTCCAGCATTTCTTAAGCTGAAGGAACTAAAGAACAAATCCAAGCCTCGAGTTGCAATACTTAAGGATGCTTTGGGCAGAATATTAAATGATACAGGAAGCATGAAAAGAACACGTGTTAGGGATGGAAAACACAGGAGGAGGAAAGCGCTGCCACCGGAACCAGAGGGAGCTGGTGCCCAAGAAGGCTCTCAGTCTGGCAAAGGGGTGGGAACTTTTCTTACACTAGCAAGAACGACCAAGTGGGAGATTAGAACTTGCCCTACAAGCAAGATATTTGTTAAAAGCTGCTTGAAGGGAGACATGGAGAGGCAGGAGGCTGTACATACCATAGCTTCCAAAGCAAAAGAGAATTGTGAGGTCAAAAAGAGAATTATAGGGAGCTCTGGTGGCCTAGTGAAAGGAAGCTGTACTGCAATTCCAGAGGTGCGTGGTTCAAATCCACCAGATGCTCTTCGGGAGAAGGCGGCACAGATCATCTTCTCCTGTACCGCTCAGATCTGATTTGACGGTAGACAGACAAAAATAATGTTGTTGTTGTTGTTATGTGCCGTTGAGTCGCTTGCGACTCATAGCGACCCTTTGTACAACAGCCCTAAACTCTGCTCTGTCCTGTGCCAATCGCACTGTCTCTGACATTCCCATCCCGATCATCCCAGTCACTGAATCAATCCACCTCATAGAGGGCCTTCCTCTCCTGCGCCGTCCCTCCACCCTCCCAAGCATGATGTCCTTCTCCAAGAACCGGTCTCTCCTCACAACATGTCTAAAGTATGTTAGACGGAGCCTCAGAATCCTTGCCCCCAAGGAGCCACCCGGTTTAACCCTTTCCAGGACAAATCTGTTTGCTTTCCTAGCAGTCCTTGGTACTCTCAATACTCTTCTCCAGCACCACAGCTCAAAGGCATCAATTCTCCTTCTATCCTCCTTGGTCATTGTCCAACTCTCTGATGCATAACAAGTGACAAAAATAATAAAATAAAAATTTTTAAAAGGGGGAAATTAAGTGGCTTCATGTATATTGATAAAGATAATGCCAAGTAATTGGTTCCAAAGGAGTGTTAGGTGCTGTCGAGTTAAGCACAACTCATAGCGACCGTGTAAACAACAGATCTGAACCCTGCCCTGACCTGTGCCGTCCTCACACTTCCTGACACATTAGAGCCCGTTGCAGTAGTCACCGTGTCAGTCCACCTGGATGAGGGTCTTCCTCTCCTTCACTGACCCTCCACCCTTCCCAGCATCAAGTCCCTCTCCAAGGAATAGCCCCTCCAAGCAACATGTCCAGAGTATGTGAGGTGAACCCGCATCACCCTGGCCTCTGAAGAGGAGCACTCCAGCTGCATTCCCTCCAAAACAGATTTTTCTGATGCATCCAGTAGGTAGGGTTATGATAATTAAATGCTGCAGCTAGTCCTTCAAGGTGGAATCTGCTGCCGAGGCTTTTGGGTGAAGGGAGAGCACTTATTACAGGACAATGTGTGTGTGCACTATAGCTGTTGCCCTGGTTCAGACCCTTCCTAGGGCAGTTGGTTTGCTCAGTGTAGGTCATTTTACTTTGTTGGAGAGTCGGTGTTCTTGTACATGCTCTGGAAAATTGATTGGCACCAGCTACTGCAGGGTCACTTCTTATCAGAGAAGATTCGTATTGATAAGGCCCTTCAGGATGTGAGGAGGGTATATGAGCTTAGGCGCCTGTTAGAACAGAAGAAAAAATAAAAACACGCCCACAAGGCTGCCAGTCTCACATCTCAGGACAAAGGCAGGAGTCACTGTTAGCAGGACCCAGAGGTCAGGAAGGGCTAGGAATTGGGCGGAGCCTCAGCGAGAGAGGTGGATGAGATTCTCCTACCACAGAAGAGGGGGCTGGAATGGAGTCACTGAACCCAAACAAAGGGGTAAAGGGTGTGGATGGGGAGCTCTAAGCTTGAGGGAGAAGGAGCTGGGATTGGGGGTGACTCTGAGCTAGGAGGAGGGACACTGCTCAAGTCTGGGAGCCAAGAGATGCAGGATGTTGCCTAGCAACGTGGGGAAACTAGGAAGTAAGCCGGAAGTGTCCCCGCCCCCCCAGCACTGGCTGCAGTGACAGCTCCTGTTTGAAGCTGAGGGACCTCAGGTCTGAGTGGCCACCGCCAAGCCCCAATCCATGGAACCCTGGCTGAGTCAAAGGAACCAAGAAGGGGCTGGCTGCGTCACTAAATGTCTCAGCCTCCTGGCAAATCGAGGACGCCGTTAACCAAGCTATTCCCAAAGAGGCCGGTTTTTATTTTTGTGTTACGAGGGTGGAGAGAGGGACAGTCCCCAACCCAATTACAAGGTGAAAAGATAGCATTCCAGATCCTCCATGAACAATGACGAGTCCATAAGGAAGAGTCCAAGCCTGCCCCAGCCCTGGGAAAGGGGTGAGGCAGGGGGCGCGGGGACGGGGGCTCAGGATGTGGGGGCTACATCTGTGAATATCTGGGAGGTGCAGACCAGCGAGGGGCGAAAAGAGTGGAAGGCAAAGTTGGGTCCATTTGCTTTCTGATGCCTGAATCCCACACGTTGTCTGACTCCACATGAACTTGGCCGTGAACCCTGAGGCAGACATTCACAAGCTCCATTTCACAGGTGAGGTAGCACAGCGAATTAGTCACCAGGTTAGGGTCACAAGGGAGGAGGAGCAGCATCCAGGCCCAGGCCTGGTGTCTCTGGCGTCTCCCCCTCTCCTCCCCCGCACCTTAGAGAGTATGAGCGAGGACTTAGGATGTTGCAGGGAGGTGTTTGAAGCAGGGAGTGCTGAGTGGACCCTGGCTGAAATAAAAGAGAAGGGCAATAAAAAAGGTTCTTGTCTGTGCTTTATTCTTCAGACAGTGGGAGCCATGGTGGGTTCTTGAGGCCTCGCCTCAAGAGAAGCCCCATAAGGGCTTGATTTGGGATGATTCCATTCCCAGCTGACTGTGACACTAGAGAAAGGAGGAGGTGAGAGGTTTGGGCGTGTTTTAATTGTAAACTTCAGTCCCATCCCAGAAAAGGAAGGAGGCAGAGAGAGTGTTGGCAAGGGAGACCAGGGCCTTGTCCTGAAGTTCCTAAGGAGAGGGAGCAGTGGTGGATGGAGGAGGTCGAATCACAGGATAGATAGGACATCACGAGAGGACGAAGCCATGGAAACAGGCCTTACAACTTGAGAACTTCCAGGGTGGGCAGGCTTTGGGAGGGAGGGTCCCACCGCCACCACCAGAGGAGGCCCACTGGCCCTTTGCACAGGATTTGAGCAGATTGGGGGATGCAGGTGGGTGAGGGATTGACCTGCCCTGTGCTTGTTCCTGGCAGGCTGCAGCCCAGGAAGCCAGCACCCTCCTGGATGTGGGGCTCCCAGCGCAGGCATTGGACTTCTGCTCTCTGGCCGTCCTGGCGGATGAGGGCAGCGCCCAGCATCGGCGAGCACGGGCCGCCTGCCTGGCTGTGCTGCGTGAGTTTAGACGCGCCCTCGAGGACCTGGACTTCATCCTCCAGAAACATGCTGGGGCTGTCGACCCCCCAACACTGGCAGAGGACTTCTGCTGCCGTGGCCGGTTGCTGCTAAGCCTGGGAGACGAAGCTGGGGCGGCTGGGGCCTTTGCCCGGGCTCTGGAACTGGCCCCCGCCCCGGCTCTGAGCAGCCTGCGCGCACGGCCAGGCCAGGCCCCCACCGCACGGGTGTTCCAGCACCACGGGCAGCGCTGCCTGGAAGCCCGGCGCCACGCGGAGGCCTGGACTGCGGCCCAGAGCGGCCTGCTTGTGGACCCCGAGCACGGTGGCCTCAAGAGGCTCAAGGGGAGGGTCCGCAGGGAGGCATCTTCTGGCTGCAGACTCCACTGACCTCTCCCCAACCAGTCAGAGGCCACTCCGACATTGTCATCAGATGACCAGTCCCTGAATGATGTGCATCATCAACGTGAGTCTCCCACCTTTCTATTTCAGGTGAAATAGAATCAGGAAGATAGTTAAACAAGAAAGAGGTTCCTTATAAGGAAATTGACTCACTTTACCGTGGGGCCTGAGAAGTCCAAAGCCCCGGGTCCACGGTCCTGCCGTCCCAGGATCCTAGGAGCTCTGACAAGATGCCTGTTTATAGTCTGGATTCCGAATACTTTCCAAGAAAACTCCTATTTTGCTCGTCAGGCCTTCAGCTGATTGGATGAAGCCCCCCTACACGATGCGGAGGGTAACACATTTGACCGAAGGCCACCCCCATCCACGGAACCGCTCCACTCAGCAGCTGAGCTAGTGTTTGACCCGACCGCTGAGGATCCACCCGCCAAGTGACACCTCAGACTCACAGTCAGTCTGCCACTTGTTAGCACCCACGTGTAATCCAGGGACTGAACCAAAGTCACACTCCCACCTACAGTGTTCACAACCACCCTTCCGCCTGCTCACGAGGCGAAGTGCTAACCGTCAGTGCTGAAAATGTTTGATGAGAAAGTGCTAGGATGAGAGAAGAACACAGATAATTGCTACACACACAGCAAACACTCCCGCCCATATGTACATACATCAAGCAAAATAAGGAAAAATACTATCACCACAGGCATGTTTACAAGTGCTCACAGGACCATCACCAAAGGTTAGGATCGTCACCCACTTCCCCTCCCATCCCATCCCTGCTTGCTAGAACAGGCAGCCTCACCCCCCAGAGGAGCAGCGTTGGGCCTTCTTATTTCTCTTGTGCCGTTGCTGTCCCCTCATCTGCTATCCCATAGGGTAGTCCCCAGGCTAAAGTGGGCTTCTCCCAACACCTGTCCCCAGGCTAATGACCTCTCCCATCCACCTGTCCCCAGGCTTACGTGGACCTCTCCCAACCACCTGTCCCCAGGCTAGAGTGGATCTCTCCCAACACCTGTCCCCAGGCTGACGTGGGCTTCTCCCAACACCTGTCCCCAGGCTAATGACCTCTCCCATCCACCTGTCCCCAGGCTGACGTGGACCTCTCCCATCCACCTGTCCCCAG